GCGATATAGCTCTGCATAGTGGCGTCTATAGGTTCCCGGTTCAAATTCCTCGAGGACTCCGGGGCCGAAAATGGCGCGTTCTCTCCATCTCGGTGGTTGCGGGGTTTTGTGCCTCTCTAAGAACTTTTTGCAGGCCTCAATTTTATCTCTCAGACCCTCTAAAATAGTCTTACCAAAGACCGGCAGGCCGTCCCACTGCGCTTGATAGGTCTGTTGAGTAATCTGATTGATATCTGCGCCAGCAGAAACAAGTCTATGTATCAGATCCGAAGCGCCAAGATGCACGGCAAGCTCAATGGGCTGCAGCACATCCCTCCCAAAAGCATGTTGCTGGCGGGTACTGTCGTCCTCTTTGGAAAGGTGGTGAAGGTATGATTCTAGATCAACCTTTCCCTTGGCGCCGTGCTCAAGAAGGCAATGAGCCACTTTCTTGAACTTCTCGTGTTCGTATTTGTAAAGTCTAAATAGTCCCCTATAGTTAGTAACCACACTCTTCAGAACAAGTCAACATGAAGACTTACGCAGAGATTAATGGTGTTTGGGCGGGCTTGTGAAAATAAGCCGAGTGTTTTCCTGCAACATTATCGATAACGCTCATAACCCCCGGCTTATCCAGCTCAAACATTGTATCTAAAACCTCCAAGTTTGCTTCGAGAATAGCATAATGAAAAGCAGTCGTGCTATTAAAATTGTTTGCTTGTGCAGAGCTTGCTCCTAGCTTAAGTAGACATGCAGTCATGCTTGCTCTCTTTGCGACATCCCTTATCTTGAGCGGGAGTGCCAGTGTCAGAATGGCATCAGAAGGCTTCTTGCCCTCACTTTGGTTGTACGTGTACTTCTTCATTGGCAATAGGCAATCTGCTCCATATTCAGAGACTAGAGCTTCGACAATATATTCATGACCAGAAACAATAGCATGGTGGAGAGGAGACATCCCGTGGCTGCTTTGATATTAGCATGTTTAATATAAGTGGGATTTTTTTTAGAGCCACTCACTCCCAATCGACAACATTTATATCATAGATATCATCGTCTTCCTCGTCTTCACCATCAAATACATCAGGCTCTTGAGGAGGCTGGACCTTGACAAAGCCCTGAGTTGTGGTTGTCTTTTCACCCCCAGATCCTGTATCGGACATCTTGTCATAGCTACCCTCTTGTTCTTCCTCATCATCATCGTCTTCATCCTTATCTTCGTCCTCGTCCTCGTGACCAGGGTCACCAACCCCTCCCATTACTAAATCAGTACTATCCGACTGGGTGGATTGTGCGCTTTGGTCAGGAACATCTCCCTTTGTTGCCTTCTCTGCCTCGGCCTTTCTTTCATCTCGCTCGTCCTTCTCTTCTTGGTTTCTCAGACTCCTGGCCAATAAAATCTTCATAATATCCAGCCTGCCACTCGCAGCCGCCAAATGTAACGCTGTCCGTCCATCTTGCAATCTTGCCACCAGTCTCGCTCCAGCATCAACAAGAACCTGCAAGATCTCCAGTCCAGTGCCTGCACTGATACACGCAAGATGCAATGGAGTCCTTCCACAGAAGTCACGGCGGTTGACATCCACTCCTTCCTGCGAAACCCAGTTCTTCACATATTCAACATCGCCCTCTACGATTGACTGGCACAACAATTCGGTCGAGCCAACATACGCCATATCCATGTAATCTTCAGGGCCCAGCGGATAGAAAGAGCCGATCTCTTGTCTTCCTGGATCATCACGTAGAAATGTGATTGGGCCACTGACATAAATTTTGCTTTCCTCTTCGTATACCTTTCTCTCCTCATCATTCAGAGGCTCTGGGCAAAATCCACAGCAGTCGACCACAACATCCTTCACACCCCCAAAGAACACTGGATGGCGATGCAGCGCAAACTCGCGATGGGGCGGCTTGTTCATGGGATTCCATTCCGCATTGAGCAAGAGATCCTTCTTGAAGAAGAGCTTCTCGATCCTCTTTGCGTTGTACTTTTCGCCGTATGGGATGCTGAATTTCTGGTAGCTACTGATATCCTCAAAATCCCACTCTGCAACTTCGTCATTGACACGTTGTTTCAAATCCTTTTCGTCTTTGAAAACAGCAGTCGTATACTCCTTTTGTGGGCGCCCCATCTCTTGCCTTCGCTGAATAACATAGGACTCCCTATCCTCGGGGCTTGGGAGCGCTTCCAAGACGAGCAAGCGGGCCAGACCAACAGTCTTCTGGAATGAACGCTCGAATATAGTAGGGTCAATTCTTGAGCGGTCGAGAAAATCGCAATACACTTCGAATCCACGGTGGGAGTACTTGGAGAGACGATTCTCGTATGACGGCGAACGGCGGGTGAGGTCAATATCATTACATTGGGTCATGCAGGCCCCAAGAGCACGTGGGTTCGCAAGGACACTGGTGCCGTCGTAGGCGAAGCACGAGCAATTGACGTCAAAGCCTGTGAGGATCTGGGAGGGCGACTTATAGAGACGGAGTACGATCTGGACATGACGGTTCGGGTATTGGGAAACGATAGTGATGGTATTTCTGGTACGGAGTGTACTATTTATAGTCAGTTTTAATACTATAATCACAAGGATACAAAACTAACGTCGTCTCCCAAAGAAGATTATCCTTGATGGTATTTTCAATCTGCTCTATCTTCTTGATTGCCTCTTCGGGATCTTCAATACCGTGTATGAACAAGTCGATATCGGAAGCTGGAGCAAGTTTTTGATGGTAATACTCGCGAAGGCTTTTCTTGCTCTCTGCATACTTTTCGGGAACTTTGAGTAAAGGAGTCAAGACGGCCGAACCAGCAACAACTACATTACTCCAGTCTACGCTGTTTTAGTCCCACAGTCATGCACGGGAGATGATCGATATACATTATTACATACCCATATTCAACAAAGACCCTTCACTGAAAATATTGAAGTTGTCTCTAAACTCTTTGAAGCTCTCAACCAGGAAATGCTCTCCAGAGGCCTTCCTATCTTCGTCCCCCAAAGCCATAATATATCTACCACAAAAAAAAAAAACCATCAGCACAATTTTCCCGTTAGACCAATTCAGCTGGGAAACAATACTTTTCGCTTTCCTCCTTTATCTCCTGCTCCAAATTCCTAGCCCTGATTTTTGCCAATCTGGCATTATCGTTTTTGAAGAGCGATATCAAGTTGATATTCCCTTGAACAAACTCATGCTCCGGCTTCTGTGCAAAGTACGCCCTCAATGCCGTCTCGTACTCCAGATATGGCCCCAGAAGCTCCCTTATCGGCACCCCCGGGTTCTCCTCGACATATTTCAAAAAGTCCTGGACCGGCACTGGCAGCACAGGGAGAACGGGAGGGAGCTCGACTTCCTCCGCGAGAGGCTGCTTTCTGAGCTGGTTGGCAGAGGACTTTTTTGCCTTGGGCCCGGGAGTGGGCGCAGGCGTGGGGGCTGAGGAGGGGGAGACTATAGACATGGGGTCGGGGGACATGGACGTCGACATGGTTGGAATATATGTTCGGTAGCTCAATTGGCAGTGTCAAGTGGGACTAGCGAAAGGTGATACACAGTGGTTGGATGGAGAACAGAGTAGTGAGGTTTTTACACATAGAGAGAGTCGGGGGAAGACGCGTTTCTTTTATGAAGAGCGTGCGTTCCTGGTTTCAAGAGTCATAATGATGATGGGCTGTGCATGTGCCGAAGGTTCCTTGTCAATGTAGGACTGACCGGTGCCGGGCTGTTGCATGTATATGTCGATGATCGTGATGTTGACATCTCCAGACTTTTCAAATTCCAACCAGTCCCAACTCGTCGCCGCCCCCGCGCACATTCCTCTGCGTGAATGTGCAGGTGTAAAAAGGAAAGAGAAAAAAGCCTGTTTGCCAATTCGCATCCCCCAATTGCTTCAATCCAGTGCGGGGTCGACAGGCAATCGCGAGCGAGGCCAATCCAATCCAACCCAACCCAACCCAACCCTTATCGCGGGGGCGGGGGGAGGGGGGGTTCGCGCGCGGTTTGCTGCTTGCACTTAACGCGTTACCTCACGCGTGATCATGTGCCTGTCGCTCCCCCCCCCCCCCCACTCCTCCATCCCTGCTGGGTGAGTCATACCTACGCTGTGGATGAGTCTTTCGCAAGCGAGGTCTGGCGCATAAATCCTTGTGGTAATCTACCCTAACGCCTCACCGCGCGGACCCAAATGGAAGGTGCTTAGACAAAGACAAAGAGAGAGAGATGGGGGGGGGGGTCTTGAATGGTTTAGACCGGTGGTGCAACGGGTACAACAGAACAGATGCTAGCCATCCAGAGCCTACAAGTACCTATGTGACAAAGGGGGGGAGGGGGGGGGGGCACGTCTTTGAAAGCGTTGATATCTGCGAGTGATGATGTATGATATCACAGTATCTAGAGAACCTATCATAGCCTTTTCTAGAAAAAAAAAGGAATGAATAAGGGAACAGACGGAATAGACTCTTTGTAGTGTTCGCGTATGTACCTACAACTTGCTTGGCCTTATTACTGCACACAAAAATAGACTCTTAAATACTGTAGGTATAGATACGTACTTTGTAGGCGGCCATAGGCAGTAGGGGACAGTGCGGGTGACGGTTTGTGACCGACCGCACCCGCCTGCTAGTTCCTGGGGAGAGGGCGGACGAACCCTCAGTGCGAGCGAACCCTGGGCCTACCACATCTTGCATTGAGGGAAGTCACATGACAGAAAGAAACATTTCTACCGACGGCTGCGTGCTGATTATTCAATAGAACTGTGTTCTAGCAGTATGTGCATACGTGCTCTAGAGAGAAGCAAACTCACAGGATCCTGAATGAGCCTTGGGCACCGTGAGCTGCATACAAATGTGATTGTGGAAAAGTTCTGCCTGGCATACATGTATGTAGTACCGGGCCAAATACGCCATTCCGCGAACCAACAACTCTCTAGATTGCAGACCAAAGCGAAAACTACGGGAAAAAAAGATAATGCTGCCAGTTGTGTGTGATAGAAGCCAAAAGAGAGAAATAAAAAAAGTGTATGAGAGAACCCCACGCGGGGGTCGAACCCGCAACCTTCAGATGTATTCTAGAGGACCGGAGTCCCATAGAAGTCTGACGCGCTACCATTGCGCCAGCAGGGCTGGATGCTTTTGCGTCGGCCTCATTGTTCTTATGACTGTGTTTTTCTTGCTGCCGGGTTTTCCGTTTCGCTTGGCGCCCTGCCAAGATTCAAATGCTGCTGGTGGGGGGCTTAGGGTTAGGGGACATTGGGTGTTTTTTGGGTGTTTTTCTTCCCAGAATCGATGTCTCAATAGAGCCGAAGGAACTAGCGAAGCCCATGGGAGTTGTTTATGCCTAGGATGGAGTTTATCTTATCACCACACGATCCTAAGGGGAGCTTCCACATAGGGTACATTGCATACATAGTTCTGAGAATACAAACTGCATTGGGGGGGGGGCATCCAGTCGAAAAGACCAGCACCGCAGCTTATCCCGCAACCAAGTCCCATAGCGTGCAAAGCTGCTTCACTAGGAGGAGGAGGGTAGGTCGATAGTAAGTAAGTAAGTAAACGAGTGATACCCCATGACCCAAGCGCCCAGTGGCGTCTTGGCACGCCATTCCAACAGCCACCTGCAATCCGGCCTAGCCGGGCAGACCCTCCTTTCTCGGTCCACCCGGAGCTTCAGTCGGGATCTCACGCCTCCCTCCCCCTCCTCCCCCCCCTCCTCCCTCCCCCTCGCACCCCTCACTCGCCTCACCAATCAACCCCCCTCCGCTTCAGCCTCAGGCACAAAGCGCTCTTACCACCCCCCCCCCCCCCCCCCATGGCCATTATTGCGCAATCATGCTGAAACAACCCGCTCAGTCTCAGCGCAAAACAAGCGCAATCCCGCTCACTCACCGTGTCGTCTGTCTGTCTGTCTCGGAATAGTAATTTAGTGGTACGCAGTCTAGCCAGGTGCATAGCTGGGGGCAGATGATTTCAAAGCGATAGTAAACGGTAGCTGGCTGGGCTGTCTGTAGAATGGTGTGGGGGCAGCTGGAGTATATAATATAACCACATCATCTCATCTCCATCTCCATCTCCATCTCCTACTGCAACACCCCCCCACTCCAGCTTCCACAAACAACCATAACCGCCCACAAAACCAAAACCTACAACAACCCAGCACAAACACCACAAAACAAACATGTCTGACCACACCTACGAATTCCGCGTCGTCATGACCTGCGGCGGCTGCTCCGGCGCTGTCACCCGCGTGCTCAGCAAACTCGAGGGTACTGCCTCCCCCTTCCCCACTCCCCCGCATTCCACCCCCGCACATAACTAACAACCCCCACCAACAAAAAAACAGGAGTCAAGGAGTTCGACGTATCGCTCGAGACCAAGCTCGTCAAGGTGACCACCGAGCCCAGCGTCACCTACGACACCGTACTCAACAAGATTGGCAAGACGGGCAAGAAGATTGAGAGCGGCGCCGAGATTGTGGGCGGGGCCAGGGTGGAGAAGAGTGTGGATTTGCAGCCGGAGGCTTAGAGGGAGGGTTGTTTTTTGTGATGTTTGAGCTTTCTTTGCAGACTTTGAATAGGGGCTGTTTTACTGGCTGTGGACCTTGGCGGTGGTGGTGGTGGTGTTGATATCTTCTTCTTTGCTGGTAAATTACACATTGACAAGCCATCATCTGCTTTATGCTTTTGCAAGAAAAAGTGCTAGTGATTCCATGGCCAATGCTGTGGCATTGATATGAATTGCTATAATAAACTATTAGATGCATTATTGTCCTACAACGAGCAAGTCCCATAGCTATGATCCCAATATATAAAAACAAAAACAAAAAAGCCAACCCAAACGCCGCCGCCGCCCCGCTCTCCATCCCGCTACTCCCCACCGTCCTTCCTCCGCTCCATCCACTCCCCAAAATCCTTCTTAAACCCCCCGCTCCCACTCCTCCTCCTCTCCTCCACCGCCTCCACCCCCAAATCCACCAGCGGCACCATAGACGGCCTCCCATGCGCACACATGAACGGAAATCGACATCCCGCCAGCGCCCTCACCAGACTAACACACTCCTCCATCCCCAACGCATCCCCAAACATCACCGCCCCCCTGCACGCCCGACTATTCACCATCTCCACCAACCCCACCGGACACCCCGCCAGCCCCTTTACCCAGTCCCCGCCCCCATCCCCCCCCTCCCCACCCGTGGTACTACACTTCTTCCCCCCCTCCACAAGCGCATAAACATGCCTCCGCACCATGGCCAGCGCCAGCGCCGGCTCACCCACACACCGGTCCGCAACCGCCGCCGGCAGCGCCGTGATGGCGAGGATCTGCCCCTGCCCCTTCCCCTGCCCCTGCCCTGGCGCGGCAACGACAGCGCAGTGCACCCCCCACGCGCGAAACACGCCCTCGTAGCGGTGCATCAGCGCTGCGTCGCCGCCGTCGTCGGCAAGCGCGTAGTGCAGCGGGGCGGCGAGGCGCTGCGGCTCCGCGGCGGCGAGCGACGACAGCAGGGCCTCGGTGCGGATGCGCTCTGAGGCGGCGTGCTGGTCGAGGAGCACCAACAGGGTTGGGGTGCTGGGGGAGGAGGAGGAGGAGGAGGTGGTGGTGGTGGTGGTGGAGGAGAGGCCGCGCATTTTGAGGAGGATGTATTTCCGGTCGAGCTGGGCGAGGACGGTTGCTGTTGCGAGGCCGGGCTTTGTTAGTTTCCCGAGGGCGGCGCGCGGCTGGGTTGTGGTGGTGGTGAAGGGGGAGGAGGAGGAGGAGGAGGAGGGGCCGCAGTGGTGGTGGTGGGCGCGTTGTGTGGTGGATGGGATGGGGGCCTCGGTGCGTGGGAAGACGGGGTTTGTCCAGTTCTGTGGGAGAGGGGGAAGGTCAATGGCCAATGATCGCACGGCGGCTTTCAGTGGGGGGGGGGGGGGGCGGGGAGTACCTTGAGCAGCGCATCCACGAACGGCCCTCTAGCCTCCTTCTCCTCCTCCTCCTCCTCTGTCCGCGGCTTCTTTGCCGTGCGGAAGGCGGCCGAGGACGATAACGAGAGTGCCCGTTTGCGCGCGGTGGTGGCGGGGCTGTTATTCCCGGTGCGGGCATTGACGCGGAAGACATGTTTCGAGCGCGGGTCGCGCCAGAGGCCGTGGCTGTCTCCTGCGCCCGCGCCCCCGCCCCCGCTCCCGTCCTCGTTCTCCTTGGAGCTGTCGTCGGGGCTGCTGCTGCTGGTGGCTATATCGCGTGTGTCTGTGTCTGTGTCTGTGTCTGTGGTGCTGCTTCTGCGGGCTGTAGCCATTCCCGCAGAGAAGCCGCCCCCCTTGCGGCCGTCCTCCTCGCGGGCGTCGTGTTTTGCAGCCTTGACGCGGCTCCAGAGCGCGAGTGCGCGCGTGTCGCCGTGGTTCACCGCTGCACTTCCGTTCGTGATTGTGCGCAGCGGCGTGCCCGCCCTCCCTCCCCCTCCCCCTCCCCCTCTCCCTCTCCCTCTCACCCCCCCCTCGATAGGCCTCTTCACGCCCTCCGCCGCCGCCGTAGTAGAGAACCCATGGGCCCTCAAAAACTCGGCCACCAGCCTCCCCAGCAGCTCCACCGCGCCCGCCAGCCACGCGCCCTCCAGCCCCCCCTTCCCCTCCGTGCCGCCCTCGCCGCCAAGCACCTCCGCGCCCGCCGCGCACTCCACCTCCAGCACAAACATGGGCCACCGCTCCACGCCCTTCCTCCTCCCCTCGCCGTCCTCGCAGCCGAACGAGGACGCGGCAAACACGCGGTTTGCCTCGGCGTGCAGCGCCGACGCCGCGCCCACCAGGGGATGTCCATTGACGGCGAGGAACTGCAGCCCGCGGGTGCCGTGGCCCTTGGCCGCGCTGACGTGGCCGCGGATGGTGGTGGTGGCGGTCCCGGCGCGCACGCGCTCCCAGTCCGCGCCGACCGCGGCGCGGCCGTACACCTGGCGCAGCACGGCCATGCGCCAGCTGCCCGTGCGGCCCGTGGTTGCGGTGGCGGTTGCGGTTGTTGTGGCGGGGGGGGCGCGGACGGCGATGCGGCGGGCGCCGTGCTCGTCGCGGGCGGTGAAGGAGACGGCGGAGGGGGCGAGGAGGAGGAGGTGCGCGGCGCGGCGGGTGATGGTTGCCCACTCTGCGTCGGGGTTTGCGGTGGCGGCAGCGAGGCGGGCGTGGAAGCGCACGGGGAGGTCGGCGTGGAGGGCGTCGATGCGCACGGTGGTGCCGGGGCGGGGGAGGCGCAGGTGCGGCGGGGAGGGGCCGGCGGCGGTGAGCGGCGTGGAGTAGGAGATGCGGGTGGTGTGCGTGGTGGCGCAGGTGGCGTGGCGCGTGGTGAGCGTGAAGAGGGAGTGCGTGCTGAGGGAGCTGAGGGCGAGGCCGCGGGAGCCAAAGGTGCGGGTGGCGGGGGCGGGGTTGTTGTATTTCGATGTAGCTGTCGCTCGCTCGTCAGCTCTCCATCGCCACCACAGATGTCACAGCAGAACCAAACCCACCGTGCATCACCCCGACCATGGCCACATCCGCCGGCAGGATGCCCGCGCCGTCGTCCTCCACCACGCAGCTGTTGCGCGCAACGTTGGCCTGCACGGCCACTGTCCGCGCGCCGGCGTCCAGCGAGTTCTGCACAAGCTCCGACACGGCGTCGGCCAGCGAGGTGACTGCGAGCGAGGAGCGCAGGCGCGCCGCAGCGGGCGCGGGCAGCGTCCTGATCCGCGGTGCTGTGTCGGTGGGCATTGGTGGTGTTTGTGGTGTTGTTGTTGTAGTTGTTGTGGTGGGGGGAGAGTTGGAGAGATCCGGATTGGGCAGCGAGCGAGCGTTCAGCGTCCCTCTGAGATCACGATCACGATCACGATCACCATCACCATCACGTAGGGCTGTAATTCTGATACATAGATCTAGGCAAGAGTGCAGTGCCGCGCGTGTGGGCATACAGGGCAGAGAAGGCTGGCTGTCGGCGGCCAGGCACCACAGCTCTCCCTGACTGACTGTATAATAATCTATTCCCTCCCATTGTAAACTCTCCATCGCGGCCCTATCTCTGCCCCATAACCAGCAGGCCAGGGATCAAAGTGCAACATTGTGGCATGGACTGCACTGCACGCGCCCAGATGGATACTCAGTGACATTTCTCTGGGGTGCGCTTAATCCTGAATT